CATACACACACACACATGCACACATGCACACACATGAAGACAATATTCATGAAAGCTTACACATACATTTCAACGTCAGCTTAGTTTTTTATCCCCGTAGATAAAATGAGACAGACACAATGCTGCCTTCGTACACATCGCTATACCACGCATGTCCTAACACGTCCGTCTTAATCTATACTTTACACCTCAACAAATGCGTGTTATTTAACCTACCACAAACATCTGCTCGTTATTATATACCGTAATTAGCTTAAAATACGTGTGATTTAATGTATTATGTCCTGTTAATTACTAGCTCCTGATGTATGCCACGTGTCCCTCTGTGCTGGGAGGCCAGCCACGCGTGTACTAAAACACGTGTCCCTCTGTGCTGGGAGGCCAGCCACGCGTGTACTAAAACACGTGTCCCTCTGTGCTGGGAGGCCACATACGATAACATGATATTGATGGAACAGGAGGTGGTACCTTGATGCTACAAAGGGCTCTTGATCCAGTGAAGTGCGGCTTTCCTCTTCTTCCTTGTATCAAATCTCATTACCACCCATTCCCAAGTCACTTGATGATTCATACGGGTTTAGGTCATCCTTATGAATCATAATCATAATTTGGGATAAAGGAAAACAGATAACTAACTGGAATAGGTTTAAATAGGTTCGGAAGCGAGAAAAGAACCGATAGAAAAATTATTTATTTTGTTTACAGACACGTCTATCGTCACGAAGGCACTGGACAGGCACCTAAAGTCAGTACCTGACCAGCCCGACTGTGGTTTGTACGTCAGATTGCGTGCGCCCAGCAGTAACAGCCTGATTGATCAGAACCTGATCCACCACCGGGCCTGGTCTCAGACCGAGCCGCGGGGGCGTTGACCCCCGAAACCCTCTCCAAGTAAACTCCAGGTATACATAAACATAAGCCTGTAATGAAGTCTAATTTATGCAGGAAAACCAAAACAATGAATGTTTACGTTATCCTCTAAACTAAACAACAATCCTTATTATGCTACGGTTTATCTTTATTAGAAACAATATTAGCGATTATCTTTATCAGAGATACTCTTCATTAAAGAAAATGATAACTGAAACGCGGCAATATGGTTCCGTAGACCTTATTAAACTTTGAGACGTCCGTAGAAACCTAGTGTATTCCTCCAGCACGTGCCTCTCCTCTGTATTATATAATGTCATGCTAGACAGCAAACTAAAAATATTTGTTCTTACAGAATTTACCAATTAATGTGCTTGTAACACTATCAACAAGGTGCTAGACGAAAGCACCTTGTTGTGCCAGAAAGAGTACCTGGAAGCACGCTAACTCAGCAGGTATATACCTGAGAGGTAGTTAGGGAAAAAGGAGAGCTCTGTGAAAGGTTGTTTTGAGACAACACGTAATAGACCCCACAAGAAATGAAAATGCACTAGACGTGCTGTCACGAACAAGGAGGGACTAGACAGTCTCAGCTGCAACGTACTCCGGTCACAGCCTCACTCAGGTACAGTCAAGATTATATTCATGTGTATAGAGCATAAGACATCGCCATCCTGACGGGATGCTGAGGAAATTTAATTTCAATAATCAGAGAACGGACTGCCTCCTCATACCTCGACGGAGTGTATTCACCGAGAAGGTCCCCTCAAGGGAGGTTCTTTGACGCTGGTGAGGGGCTCTTGATCTAGGGAACTGGATCTGTGCTCAGGTTCCCTGAATTGAGCCTGAATACCTTTCATCCCCCCACATACGCTGTATAATCCTACGGGTTTAGCGCTCCCCCATGATTATAATAGTTATAATAATCACCGAGAAAGTAGACAAAAACAGGATGTTCCAGAGATGGGACACAGCAACGAGGAGGCTGAAGACTCAGATAAATCAGAGGGATGTTAGGAAGTATTTCTTCAGCCATAGAGTTGTCAGGAAGTGGAATAGTCTGGAAAGTGACGTAGTGAAGGCAAGATCCCTGCATAGTTTTAAGATGAGGTATGATTAGGCTCATAAAGCAGGGGGAGAGAGAGAACCTAATAGCGACCAGTGAAGAGGCGGGGGACAGGAGCTGAGACTCGACCCCTGCAACCACAATTAAGCAATTAAGTGAGTAGGTGAGCGCACACACAGAGATTATCTTAACGGGATGTCTGCTGCTTACTTTGAAACACAATGATTCTCATCCCCCACAGCGTAAAACTATCTGCGGCTCACCTTATAAATTCTATACACCCAGCCTCCGACCTTCGAGACAAAGCGATCGATAGCGCCACCCAGGAGAGGCAGCCGTAGCTATTAACGAGGGCAGAGGAAAAAAGAATTTCAACACTGCAAAAGTTACCAGCTCCTACAGGCCAGCCACGGACTAGAGATATTCCCCCCATCATCATTGACTAGGATGCTAGCTGACTGAGACAGCAGCTTCATAGAAAGAATTAGCTGATCGTTGCTGCGGTTAATAAGGACACCAAAAGAGAGATAACACAATAACTGCCAGCCTGTACCGAGAATGTATTGTGTTGAGACAAATCATGTGCAAGTCATCATGCTGGAGACAGCACTACCAACGGGAAAATAAGTTTACCGAAGAAATAACACAACACTGGAAGACGTGCATGAAAATTTAAGAGTCAAGTAGACGTGTTACACCTAAGTGTAGACGTGCTACACATCATCTCCACTGCCACCTACCATTGCTAACGTTATACTTCGTGTTAATCTTTCAACACTCAGCCTAACCTTATTTTTCTTCGCTAATTTTATTATTAAATATTCAGTGTTAATTTTTTAACGCTTTCCTAAATCTACAAATTCTACTTTAATTATAAACAGAGTTAAACTAAAATAACATAAGTCAGTATAGGCAACTTTCAAATCTGCACAATTATAATTGACGTAGCCAACATCCTCACTTGACTGGTCAGCCGGAATATTATTACCACACAGGCTAGGAGGAGAGCACTAAATCCGTAGGAGTCATGCAGCGCCTAGAGAGAATGGGAGACTATGAAGATCGATGCAAAGGAGCGGCCGTCAGGTTGAGATCGTTGGATCAAGAGTTACGCACTACTCTTGGACGCCTTAACAGCCCAACACTGACTAGTTACGCCAGTCACGTCAGTATTGTCTTCTCTCAGAGTAACATAACAGTAACAACAGTATCTTCTCTCAGAGTAACATGACAGTAACAACAGTGTCTTCTCTCAGAGTAACATAACAGTAACAACAGTATCTTCTCTCAGAGTAACATAACAGTAACAACAGTGTCTTCTCTCAGAGTAACATAACAGTAACAACAGTATCTTCTCTCAGAGTAACATAGCAGTAACAACAGTGCCTTCTCTCAGAGTAACATAACAGTAACAACAGTGTCTTCTCTCAGAGTAACATAACAGTAACAACAGCGTCTTCTCTCAGAGTAACATAACAGTAACAACAGCGTCTTCTCTTAGTGTAACGTGACAATAAGATAACGAACAATTGTTTCTGTTTGTGCGGCATTATTAGTCACTCTGCTACTGCAGCATTATTAACTAGATATTCTGCTGGTCCTGCAGCACTAGTAATTTGCTGTTCTGCTGCTGTTGTTGCTGCAGCATTATTAACTAGGGACTCTGTTGCTGCAGCTATATTAACTAGGAACTCTGTTGCTGCAGCTTTATTAACTAGGCACTCTGCTGCTGCAGCTTTATTAACTAGGCACTCTGTTGCTGCAGCTTTATTAACTAGGGAATCTGTTGCTGCAACTCTATTAACTAGGCACTCTGTTGCTGCAGCTTTATTAACTAGGGAATCTGTTGTTGTTGTTGCAGCTTTATTAACTAGGCACTCTGCTGCTGCAGCTTCATTAACTAGTGACTCTGCTGCTGATGCTGCACCTTTATTAACTAGGCACTCTGCTGCTGTTGCTACTGCCACTCTGCTGCTGCAGAAAGCTTGGAAGGAGACTGTTTGTACTGTTACAATAGCTCCGCTCTCCCAGAGTGAGTATGATAGCTCTGTCCTCTCGGTTAGAAATCAAGGTTTTCAACTGTTTAAGATCAGCTGCATATAAAGCACCTTTAATATCAGTGTACTTGTGTAAACTAAATAAGGAAAGTCTTACCTATCTTTGTTGTGACTTAATTTGTATGTCTTAATTGATTTTGTCTAAGGAAGTGTTGATGCTGAAATCTGTTTTTTTTTTCAATTGTTTTTTGTTCTCTTTTTTTTTAACGTTAATCTAAGAGGTTGTTAAACCATTGATAAACTACTAACCGGTTCTATATTTCTTATAAACAATAATTTTGCTCTGTTAATCTTGAATAGTAAGACTGGTCGACCTCACTCATATCTCTTATAATACTTACCATTATTAGCATTGACCCGACCAAACTAATGGTCCTTCAGTATACAATAATAGTATTGTCTTTACATTAACTTCACAAATTATGTATTATTTTCCTATGGTCATGATGGTCACTGTGACCTGCACTCTGCTTCCCTGAAGTTTGTTAAATGTTAACTGCGTGGTAGTGTTACGATTTTTTAAGTTGTCATATTTATAGGAACCAAACCGAAGGAAATGTGTCACATTACTGCCTATTTTATTTTTATTAATTTTTGTCTTCGTTAGCTCCCCTTCACTTCTTCACTCAGTATTCATTTATTCTCTCTCTCTCTCTCTCTCTCTCTCTCTCTCTCTCTCTCTCTCTCTCTCTCTCTCTCTCTCTCTCTCTCTCTCTTCACTCGTCACTCGCAGCTGATTAAGCAACTGGCCACACATGGTATCTGCCCTCTGTCTCAGGAGCAAGTTGTTTACCTCATGAGATAGATACCTGATACAATCCTTCCCAACACCTGACAGCACTCTTATCCCTTCACCTGACACCTGATACTGCTTCTCTCCTGCACTTGGCACCACTTCTCCCAACTGGCACCACTCTCCTTCACCTGGCATCACCCTGCCCTCTCTCACCTAGCACCACCCCGCCATCTATCACCTGGCACCACCCCGCCCTCTCTCTCTCTCTCACCTGTAAGTTGCAGTAGCTTAGGTGCGAATTTTTTCCAGAAGGCACATTTTTTGAGTCTTGGTCCCCTGCCTGTTGAGGTGGTGTTTGTGGCGAGGGTGAGGTACTCACGACCAGTTGTGGTGTGCACTGGCCAGTACGTCTGTGTCCACACGCTGTCACTACCTTCACTGGGATTC